TTCGTTTAAATTATGAAAGCAATCAAAACCTGGCAACTGAAATTCAACTGGTAAAATTTTCCCCCCATGATTTTTGGGGAGTGTCTCTGTAATACAAATAATGTCTATACACTCGTTTTCGATCACAGTTAACAGTTCATTTCTTTTGTTCAAAACGGAATCAGAGTTCGTGTAGAAACATTTCAAAACTTTTTGTGCACTTCCATCTTGATGTATGAATAAACTTTTTACCTTATTTACAGAACTGGATTCATATACATGATTTCCACTATTTAATTGCCTTCCATCTCCCGTGACTGTCGGCGAGCGGTCGGAGTCCTCGTGAGATCTTGAATGGTGTTGACATGATTTTCCGTGTTTCTGCGTCTGTTTCGCTCCTGCCATTTCTTGCGGAACTCCGCCCTCTCTAAAGGGGTGGAATCCTTTAGAGCGGATTCGCTCCCGCCATTTCTTGCGGAACTCCGCCCTCTCTAAAGGGGTGGAATCCTTTTTCACAAAAACAGACTTGAATTCAACAGTTTCTCCTAATTTTTTCGCTGCTCCAATTTTTTCGCTTCAGCACGCTCCAAACCTGGGCCGGATCCTTCACAGTCACCAATAGAGGTCTGCATGCGTTAGTAGCAGCATTCTTGGAGCGCAGCCCTTGCACGATGCAATATCAACCGGCGTGCTTAGTGCTTTACCACAACAGTCTGCCACATACTTATTGTCGGCCATCACACGTTCGTTCGTCTCAGATGCGGTGCTTTCGGGAATGCCGAACCAAACAAGGTTGCACTTCCTTCGTTCTCTGTCTAGTAATTCGCGTCCACGTTGTGATTCTTCAGTTCCATCTTTTCCAAGTTTTCTATATTTTTCCGTTGAGCTCTCTCTTCGATCAGCTCTTTGCGCAACGAGCTCAGTTCATTACTCAAAGAGCCAACTAAATTACTCAACGTGTTCATCTCTTTCCGATAATAGTTTTCCATTTCAGCTCGAAATGCTGCGAACAGAGCGAACCAATTCTCTTCCATCTGCTTCTCGCTTTTCCTGGCACGGAGAGTCGGTTTCTCGCAGTCGCTACAGAACCAGTGAAACGACTCTGTTTTCTGTAGGAAAGAGTATTCTTCACAGCTCAGCTTCGCGCAACTGATGCAAATGAAATCCTCGCAGTGTTCACAGATGACCAACTGATCATCTTCTCTCAACGAGGTCTCTTTGCAAAACTTGCATGCATCTTCAACTACGCACTTCGATCTCCTGTTCGATTTTTTCGGTGCATCTTGTTTCGAAGAACCGCATTCCTTCTTAACAATCTTGTTTACTTTCTTCCCAGCCATCGAAATGTCTTCTTTCTTAATTGTTTGATGATTTCCGGGTTCCTTCACTGAAATTTAGCTAGGGTTTCTAACAGCAATAAATCACCGGAAACAAGCCTGATGAACACAACCGCCCTACGGTAGTAAAGTTCCGGAAGTACAGCACAGCCGCTCGACGGTAATAAAGTTCCGGAAGTACAGCACAACCGCCCGACGGTACCGGAAGTACAGCACAATCGCCCGACGGTAATAAAGTTCCGGAAGTCCAGCACAACCGCACGACGGTAATAAAGTTCCGGAAGTATAGCACAGCCGCCCGACGGTAATAAAGTTCCGGAAGTCCAGCACAACCGCACGACGGTAATAAAGTTCCGGAAGCAATTCAAGCAGGAAACAAGTCGGTCAGGCTCATGGAGCGACTACACAACACGTATGATCTCCACCGCGTCTCAATCTGAACTGAACTCTGAACTCTGAATAATGACCAGAGAATGCGCCTATTTCTTCAACGCCGACACTTCTATTCTATTATATTCCAATTTGTAAGGAATCAAAACTCTTCAGATGATATTAGCAGATCAAAAAGCAGGTCTCAGCAAGGATTTATAATATATTAATATTTAACTACGTTTCGAATGTATCAACGTTCATTTTCAAGTCAATAGAAGCATTGAATAATAAAATTTTGGTTGACATATGTACATAATACATGTAAATAGGATACAACAAAGTAATTTTGAACGGAAAATGAAAATAACTCCAAATTACATTGGAGTTATTGGACTAACAACCACGAGATTGAGACCGTCTCAGGGAGTCCCTGAGACAAGCTCACAAAACCGTCGCTCACACGGTGCTGGAGGAACCCACCAGCATCGTCATCATGCAGTGCTGGAGGAACCCACCAGCATCGTCATCATGCAGTGCTGGAGGAACCCACCAGCATCGTCATCATGCAGTGCTGGAGGAACCCACCAGCATCATCATGCAGTGCTGGAGGAACCCACCAGCATCAGCATCATGCGGTGCTAATAAGAGGTCTCCAGACTCAATGAATTCTTTGTCTAGACTCTGGATCACTGGACCACACTGCCAGTTTACATTTAGGTAAAGTTTTTGCGACGTTTTAGTATATTAAACAGCAAAAAAATCTAAATAAATATCGTTGCACTCTCTGCCATCCCGTTGTTATCACATGAGCAGGTAGTCGGTCAGTCAAGGTCAGGAGCTAGCAGGATTCCCGGGCAGATTAACTAAGGAGCGTCACTGCAGGTAATCCTCAGTCTTAAGCCATCTACGACTTACCTTAACTTTCTATGTCCTAAAGCAGTTAAAAGGACAGCAGCATAAACTGTGTAAATTTGAACATCTGTGAACGTTAAATTTCGCAAAAGAAATAGATGGAATAAATTCTGCATCGAATCCTGCTGAACTTCTGGCAACCAAGCCTAGCTTTTGTGCAATGATTACCGCATGCTTGTGAGTGACTGCCCGCAGTCCCGCATCTCAGTGTTCTTCGGAACGTGGTAGGAGTAGGTGGTGTGTTCGACGTGCTCTCTGATTTTCTCTAATCTAACGCTCACTGGCCTGGAAAATAGATCAGGTTTAACTGAGAAAGTGGTGTTTTTCTTATTTTAATTTGAAAAGGCACGAATATGATGTTAAAAAACTTACACTGGAAGAACAGACTTTGAAAGTATAACGTTAATAAAGGATTTAGTGGCTTCCTTTGTCAACTGATAAAACTGCCTTCCTGTTTCAAGGGAAACTTGTTTGACACGAGTTATATCCTGTGACATAGAAAATGAATTTAAAACCTGGACAAATGCTGATGTTCAAAATATTTAAAGGCTAGCTAGTGAAAAAATTTATATTTAATTTATTTAATACACGTAAATTTATTCACGAAAATTTCTGACAAAACTAGTAGGAATAAAATGGTGAATAAGAGAAAGTGCCACCGGCAGGGGTAGTGCAGGAGTGACTCGCAACTCTGGTAGGAATAGCATTATGGGTAAGAGAACGCGTGTGCCGGCATGGCAGCAAAGGGTTAACCCACAACTCTGGTAGGAATAGCATTCTGGCAAGTCTTGATAGTAAGGCAAATTTGAGATGGAATGGAAGTTTACTACCTGGTCAGGGTAGCATCGCCTCCAGCAAACTTCGCAAAGCGATGTGCAGAAGATGTTAATTGCCTTGTGAAACTCTTCAGCATTAGCTGCGCGCAAAGCGCAAGCTTCACGACGAGCTGCCAATATTTCAGCACGCTCTTGTGCTGTTTTTTTAGCACTCGCATTAGCATGCCAGATTCGATCACTTTCTCGGCGAGAATTAGCATGATCTACGCTTGTATTCGCACGAGATATGGCATGCTAAAATCGATCAGTTTCTCGGCGAGAATTAGCTTGCTCTTGTCTTGCATTCGCACGAGATTTGGAATGCTGTACTTTATCTTTAACTCGGCGCGTTGAAGGTTTCTCTTCAGATAAATTCGCACGGACATTCTGCTGACTCTGATTATTATTATTATTTTTTTTTTGCTTGACAGATTTATTGTCATCAGTTGCCAATGACCGCTTCAGAGCGTATTTTCTGCGAGCTGTTGCTAAGCGTCGCTGTTTTTGCAGAGGCGTTAAATTCATATTTTTATTATTCAGTAAATACTTTTTAAAAATTACTCAACAAGAAAATAGCTTTTCACTTCATGTCTCTATCAAATTCAATAGAATCCGCCGTTCAATGATCCGCCAATGATTCATTACGTTAAATGATGCGTTCAATGAATCTGGTAAATCCGCTGTATCTAATGAAAAGCGTTTATCAACAATTCAGTTCCAATGAGCGCTCCAGAGCGCATTTTACCACCTTTCTAAATCATTTTACGCTTCTAAACCATTTTCCAAGGTAGACAATTCTGTATGCTCGACAAAAATAATCGATTTCCAGACGTGAATTTTTAGTTTTTTATTTATTATTTTATTATTATTTTTTTCTAAATTTTTTTTTAATTATTACTTCTGATGATCAAATCTTGAATTGTTAGGCAGCATAAGCATGCATGCCAAATTTCAACTTACTAGAATGTTTAGAAGAGCTCTAAATTAAGGTCTGAATTTTTGATGACAGACAGACAAACAGACAGACACGAAACGAAGCTAAGAAAAACGTGGTAAAAATTTTTCACGAGCTAAACATCACCGTTGAATAGTTAAGAATGTATATTCGAAATCTCGTTCAAATCTGTGTAGTACTTAGGAAGAAATATATTGTTCATTGCGAACTTCTACACGCATCGCCTTGAACCACGAATGAAGGCAAAATAAAAAGAAAATTCCCGAGCTAAACATCACCGTTAGGTCCTAATGAATCCGTGTACCAAGTTTAATCGAGCTACGTTCATTATTTTGGGAGATATTCCTTGTTCGCTGAATTTGGAGATTGGCGGCCGCAATTAAGTCCGGCCGCAAATTTGTCCGAGACGTGTGGCCCAGTGGCTAAAGTAAAGTGGCTCTGCTCCAAGTACCAAAATTGGAGCAGAGAGGTGCCGCTTCGAACCCAGCTCTGTGCGCCAGTTTCTGGTCAGAATCGGCAAGGAGGTCAGGCGGTGGTTAAGCAAAGAAAATTTTGAAGCAGTGAGATGCGAGTTCAAACCCGCAACATGCTGAGGATGTTCTGCAGTGTTATGAATAGGCAGCAGGCCTAATAAGCGCTGAAATCGCTATATTATATATTATTATATAGTGGTACTATTCATGTTTCAATTGAGAGAATCATTAGCGAATTTAATAATCCCGGCTTGATTATTTGAAAGCAGTGTTTATCCACGGATAACAGAAGTGCGGCTGATGAAAAGCGTGGTATTCCCTCTTTTGATAACTGGTGTAACAAACACCTGAAGTCGCTGCAGTTATTGTGAAATAATACAGCTTAACTCAATTCTCACTGAACAAAACCTAGAACTATTCTCAATAAAATTACGAGGTCGAAGGCTTTGCATGTGCATGTCCACCAGTGTCACTGAATATTTATTTTATTTCATATCCAAAAAGGCGGTAGATAATGCAATTTGAAACAAATGTCCTTTTTAATATTCTAAGAAAAATTGCAACAAGATGGTAATTTTTGGGCCGCCTCACTCACGCCTTCGCCAGTCGTCGCCTAGACCTATGCAAACTATTAAGCGATGCGCAGGTTATGAAGCTTCGTCTAATAATTTGTCTCCGCCACTCGTCAGTCATTAATTGTGTATTCGAAAATATATATACTTTGTTTGATTGTTTTTAAAATTATATAGTTATGTGTAGAACAATTACGCCATCGCAGTTAAAATGAGAAACAAATCAGACTTCCTTTCGAATTTAGTTAACAAACCACGTCTAACGTGCTCAGATTTCTTGAGGGTTAATCCCTCGATGATTAGGGTTAAGCACCAAATTTAAAAGGCAACAATGATCATTCAACTTCGCCGTAATAATTTTTTTTCTATAGTAACTGGCTCTAATACTTCTTTGAATACTTTTTTCCATAGTAACTGTCTCTAATACTTTTTTGAATACTCTTTTTCCTTAGTAACTGGCTCTAATAATCAAGGGTGCTGATGACAGATGATATAGAGCAGAGGCAAGAAAGCATGCATTATGTCGGCATTATTACAAACTGAGCACGCGTTGCCAATCAGTAGCTAAAACACAAAATCTAGACGTTTGGAAGGAAGAATTTAAATGTTTTAGCATGACTAAATGAACAACATAATGTCTATGTTGATCGCCGCAACAATATTGAGAAGCATGACAGTTACAAATCTTTTTAGTCGACCTTTGTTTTTACAAAATAGCCTCGGAATCTGACACGTAGCCATGCTCCCCTTTAAAAAAACGGGGCTCGAGCAGCGGTGGGGAGGCGGAGTAGGCGATGAGGTTGCGGTTGGGGAAGAGATGTTTGTACTCAGTCTGCAAGGAGAAAATAGGGCGAGGAAACACTTATCAGCTTGTCTTAATATGATTGCCAGTGGAAAATAAGGCGTGTTCAGAATATATATACATGAAAATATAATTGCATGTAATCGACAGATTCGCGCTCGACAGAATCAAATTCTAGTACGTAGTCAATTGTCAAATCTTCCTGTAAAATGATGAAGAGGTCAGAACTATTTTCCGGTATCATCGCTGGTCTTGGGTGCCGTGAATGCGTGGCTGAGTCTTGCTAGAAGACAAACTATTTGTCAAATAAATACTTTTGAGCAGATTGAAAGTGTATAGCCTATATAGGTGCCGGTATTTACTTGTTCACAGACGGCGTTGAGGTCATAGAAGCGTCGCCCTATGTCAAAATTAGGCATGGGGCCATACGTGCGCTGATTTTCAGGTCATCGTCTTTTGATAGATGCAATCTTCCACTAAACACTCCGACAGTCATTTCTTATAAAAATATATCACATTACTCATAAGAAAATCTCATTATAGGGCAATAGTTTGATGCCAGAGCCTTTAGCCTGCGACTGTTTAATGACCATGTACTGCATCTCACTAGGCGCACTTCACATACCCCTAAAATTCCAACTCTTCTCGCCTAACAAGCGTCGCAGACCGCCAGTCTGGCCCTTTGGGGCTCCGCAGTCTCCGCTTCAAGGGCAAGAAAAAGCCACTGAATAATTTGCTGACTGCTCTCAGAGTATCAAACAACTTGATTTGTTTGATACACTTAATTAATTATTGCAGCCAAATATGGTGAACATCACGATTGTCAACATTTCCTGACTCCACGGAAGTATCTGGATCACCCATTATATTACACATATTATCATGAGAACATCCTATCCGTCTATTTAAAAAATGGCAGCAGCGATCTGTCACAAGTACATGAACTAATTAGTTCAGTATTATGTTCATATGTAACTACATCGCTTCGTATTGGCAATAAACAGCATTACGAATACTCACCAGAGGAGAACGATCGTACATGATCGGTAGAAACTCGTCGCAGGCCAGGATTTTGCTCAAGGGATCAGCGTTAACGAGCTTCAGCGCCCCGGACTGAGAGATGAGGTAACCGACGAGCCAATAGGAATACTTGGAAACTTCCAGCATGGGAGCACCTGGGACCTGTGGCCATAAGCTTGAAAAATTAGTTGTTCCAAAAATACAAATCACTGACTCATAAAAAGTATTTGTTGTACATGGCCTTTATTGATTATTATTCGTTATTATTTGGTGGTTAAGCCATTAAATTAGTGATAAACAAATTGTGGAATCATGCCATTAGTGGTATGCTTGGTCCTCGCGTATTATTTTCGCTAAAATTTTATTCTCTACAAAAGGCATCTCTTCAACCTAACACTAGATAATCTATCAAAGATTTGCAACCGTTGTCATACGTCACCGCCCGGTTCTAGCGGCTTAACATTAAATTAAATCCCTGAACTTACTCAATGTGCTGATTAAAAGCGCATTAAGTTATATATTATACAGGGTGTACCAGAATTAACTGACCCTTTTAATTTGTTAATAAATAAAAAACCAAGAACGTTTTGAAGTTGAAACTTGTTTTATTTAAAAGAAGAACATTTTTATGGTAATATTGAATCCTAATTTTTAAATATAATATATTTTAAATGCCCACCACAATTGTTTTGACAAAATAGGGCTCTTCTCTTCGTTGCTTTCATAACCTTCATTAGTGTTTCTGGCGAGAGTGCAAATTTTTTATATCCGCAAATTTTCGATAAAGAGATTTAATTGTGTTTTTTGAAGGATCCTTGTTTTGAAATGGATCCTGTAATCACGTTGAACTTCTGTTATGGACATCGTTATTGACTGTAGCGATAATTATTGTTCTTTCTTCTTTGCTGTAGCGAATCATGATGAAAATTTAAGGCTTGATAATTAAACACAAATTTAGCAAGCTATACAGGATAATGACGTAACTATGATACAATATTACCATAAAAATGTTCTTCTATTAAATAAAACAAGTTTCAACTTCATAACGTTCTTAGTTTTTTATTTATTAACAAATTAAAAGGGTCAGTTAATTCTGGTACACCCTGTACAACTAATGCTACATATTAGCGCCTAATAACAGATTTAGTGGCACGAAATTTTACGAAAACTAAATGTTGTACGTTTAGAAAAAATATCTTGGAAATCCTGCCTTAGATCGTGCATGTTAAAAGGCTAATATCAACCTACATAACCCACCTCAAGCTTTGGTAACTCTGCCTCGAGGTCTTTGTAGCCCAGGAAAATGAAATCCCATTCAATGCGAGCGTTGGCGAGATGTGCGAGTAAGCTCCTCAAATTTTCTTTGAAATTTGGGAAGAACTGAACGTCGTCTTCAAACACCATGGCCTATTAGTTGATAAGTAGTAAATATAAACTAAATAGCTTGCATGAGGTCATGAGTTTGGTGATGAAATAATAAAAAACAATAATGTGGAGTAAAATTATACAATAAATGCATGTATTTGACTAACTAATTCATCAATGCTTACTATACGTGACGCCATTATCACGTGCAGCCAGTAAATAATTTCAACAAATTCAATTCATTATGATATAAGAGAAAAACGTTCCCATTTCATTATCTACTGTCAATTATCGTTTATTGAACTGAAGTAACGTTACCTTTTCATATTTATTGTCGATAATGTTGTTCCAAATATTGTAATGCGTAATGGTGCCTCCCATTTCCCCCCGAGAAACAGGGCGGTGCAAGTTTGGGTCGAGGAAGCCCTCTATTTCCTTCACCCCTAACTCGTTCTTGACTTCTTCCGTTAGGTCGTTTCCGTCCACAGCCTGAACTCGCTGTGCGGCAATGCCCACGGTGTCCAAGATGTATTCCATCTGTTCCCTCCTATCTTTGCGCTTGTCCAAGTTCAGGTAGTAAACTTGATCAAGTCCCGCCTTGTCTTTGAGTACAGGCGGCGGCAGGTATTTCACAAATTTGGCATTGGCTCCTAGAAGCACACGGCTACGAGCCGAACGGACCTTTAGATCTCGAATTAGTTTTTTATAAATATCTGACGGACCTGCAGGAGCTCTCGGATGTACAACTAAACCGTACTCCTTGTCGTTACAGATGTGAGTTGTAATGCCTGCCAACGCGCTGGACACGGCAAACGTGATGTAATCATCGTAGGGAATTTCCAGTTCAGTGATAGAATTAGCGTCGAATGATATGCGACGAACTGATGGATTATGTAAATCAATTAAAACAAAAGAACGAACAAGAGGAACTGAGAAACATCCCGAGACTTTGCGATCAAATATTGAATAGAAAAGTTCTGATGACTCGTAATAAAACTCCTCTGACATGGCTCCCCAGAAATTGGAATAGTCTCGAGTTGACTGTAACATCGGGGAGACTATTGTGTGATCGAATCCAATAAGGTCGCCGATAACATTCGTGTTTAAAAGAAACACGTCCGTGTCTAGAAATAGGACATAATCAGCGTCACTTTTTTGTGCTGAATAAAAGGCCTCTGTTTTCAACTTAACCAACCGAGAACCATTTTCTTCTATGTTATTAGAGACGTTGCACTTTACTCGAAAACCTTCTCTTGCTTTATTCAAGACAGCATCAACGCGCAGATAGCGATGTCCATTTTGGTCTAGCCACTCATCTAGAATATCAACGGTCCTGTCATCACAGTGATCGGCGCGTATGTGCAGTATCATGCGACTAGTAGGATAGCTCAGCAGCTCGAAATAAGTTAGGAAGTAAGGTAAAGTTAGCTCCTCGTTGCGTGCCGTCAGGACGACGTACACCAAAGGCTGCACTGCGACACCATCTGAGGTACCAATGTTGTTCGTGGACGAGCCGTTTTCATTGACACCCGTCACAGAGTGCACAATAAACGATACAAGTATAAAACAGTGAAACATTATCATGAGTTATTAATCGAATTTTCACTCTAATAACGCGGCATTCAAACGTAGCCAGAGTTATTGATAAGCGGGAATAGTATTTTATTAAGTTTCTTCCCTAAATTGCAGGTAGCAGGCGTATGATTTATAGATGACACTGGTTCTCTGCAAACTGAAATAGAAACTATATCATCGCAAACAAATCGTACTTGATTTCTATAACAATTGCTTTAAAGACAGTTGTTTTCACTTAGTAATTAAATATTAAAGTAATTAAATAAGCTCACTTAAGGAACAATTTACTATGATAAACATTCCCGCTGCAGGTTTCTTAAGTCACATGTTTCTCAACTTGTGCAATTAAATTAATGTGGTTTTATCCCTTGTTAATTCGATATACGAGAAGCCTTCATGCTTATAAATACGCTGCTTCTAAACGTCTAAGGTTCGTCGAAGAGAAAGAACATACACTGAAACACGAGTTTCAAACCTTAATCCAAAACTTTTTTATTCCTGCAGACGAAACACGCCGGCTCGCGAGAGAGGTTTGATTCTCTGCATCGTTTACGGCGTCGGCAGCGCTCAGACTGAGAGCGTTGTACTGAGACCAGCTCAGGTCACAGAACAGGTATATAATGATTGTAACAGGTAAAACCTGTACTGATGACGTTCCGATCAGCGTCTTGCTAGACACGTGGGGCCCTACAGTGCCGCAGACATCTAACTGTTGCTGCGATGTAACGGGCCATCCTCTCGCACGAATGTAAGTGAAGTATTTTATCTTTGTAGGATTCTTTCATTAAGAGTTATTTGAATTGATTGTTATTCATGGTTACCATAATTTCAATCAGGAATGATGACGAAGTTGAGAACCTAATTCAGTCTCAGTATTGCCCTTGTACAATTACTATATGTAACTTTGCATCCCTATAGTAAACAAATGATTACCGACAGATATTGTACAAATACTAGCTAAATAAACTGAAAATTGTTGGATATTCAATTTGTTGTCAATCAGTTGGACAGACGTTATAGTTCCTTTCTAGTTATAATTATTCATAATCATCGATGACGAGTGTTCGCATCGGTGAGCAATGGCCGCTGCATATAACCGCGTCCTGGTGAAAGGTTTTTAATCAGAAAACAAGCGAGGCAATTTTAGAAGATATTGCAGGGAATATCACCAATCACTGACTCCTTGAATAGACCTAATCATTTTTCATTTGACTGCAACAGTTGAGAAAGCCTCTACATTCGATCCATTGATTCTATAGCGTTGAGATAATCTTCAACCTATACTTGCATAATATATTCTATAATACCTATACTGGCAACAAGACTTGTAAGAATTAGTAAAATAGCCAATATATTGAATATCAATGAGGAAAACTATAGCTAGCGAACAATGAAATAATGCCAAATCCAAACAATATTGATGGTTTGGATTCATTTTCAATCGCTGTGTGTGTGCTAACACATATTTACACAAATAAACTTGCAAACAAGGTGACAAAATTGGATGCTTCGCCAAACAGTTTCAAACTTGGGAGCAGTTTTGTTCGTAATGTCGATTACCTTTTCCCTTCTTATACTTGTAAAGATAATTAAATTCTATATCAAAGTAAAAGTGTAAAGCAGGGCTGAAAAAAACACTTGACGTATGCTTTCACGCTTTTGAGATCCTGAAGAAGCATTCTTGATAAAAGCGGCAAATTGAGTGACGAATTTTGGGAGTAACTGTTGTAAATGATAATATAATTATAGAGTTGCATTAGATCACGGCTTAACAATCTAATTACTAGAAAGTCAACTTCTGTTTTTAACAGAAAAGTGAAGGGAGCTAACGAATGTTATATTTTATGATATATATTTAACAGCATGATAAAATTCGTAAAGCGATTTTTTTGTGACGCTTTGAGTAAACACATCAACCGACGACACTAGCAACACTAGCAACTTTAAATAACACATCGCTACGACACTAGCAATACTAGCAACTTTGAATAACACATCGCTACGACACTAGCAACACTAGCAACTTTGAATAACACATCGCTACGACACTAGCAACACTAGCAACTTTGAATAACACATCGCTACGACACTAGCAACACTAGCAACTTTGAATAACACATCGCTACGACACTAGCAACACTAGCAACTTTGAATAACACATCGCTACGACACTAGCAACACTAGCAACTTTGAATAACACATCGCTACGACACTAGCAACACTAGCAACTTTGAATAACACATCGCTACGACACTAGCAACACTAGCAACTTTGAATAACACATCGCTACGACACTAGCAACACTAGCAACTTTGAATAACACATCGCTACGACACTAGCAACTTTGAGTAACACATCGCCACGACAAGGCACACACAATATAATGAGCATGGAATATAATGAGCACAATATACAGAACTTGCTACACAGTAGCTTCCGAGTCCGACACGTAGCCATGCTCCCCTTTAAAAAATCGGGGCTCGAGCAGCGGTGGGGAGGCGGAGTAGGCGATGAGGTTGCGGTTGGGGAAGAGATGTTTGTACTCAGTCTGCGAACACGAAATGCGAATATATAATTTTTTTACTTCTGTTGTTCATTTAGATAAGGTTAACGCTACGGTTGGAGACTTATGTAATTCAATCGTGAATGACTTAAGTTTTAACGCTGGTGAACCGGTCTATTCATTGTCTGAATCAGATTGCTTACTAGCAGGTTAGCCGGCGTTACCGAGATAGATTATTTCAATTCATTATTATTGTTATTTTTAATTTATCATTATTTATATTGATTATTCTTATTATTGATAGATTATTGATATTTCGAACTTATTATTACTGATATTGATTATTATTATTGAAATGAATAAAATTTGCATTACTTCATTATTCTGTATCACGTTATCCTGAACCCATTTAGTGATTTTGAAACTAAATTACGAAAATTAAAAGGAAGCCGGTAGAAATTCACATTCAGCACATATCTCTCATTCAAGCACCATTTTAAAATTTTATTCAAACATGAACTTTTACCTGTATTTATATTATTTTCGCTCACCAAAACACAAATTCGTGAAAGGAATTAAAGTTTCAGTTTCACGTTTCAAGTTCCACAACTCTCCTCCCAATTTTTAATGTCTCATAATTCCAATAATAAAAATAACATTTAGTTATATTTTTCGACCCAACCCGATATGTATTGTGGATACACGTTCTATATCTGCTGCTATACATTTCCAGCGCCAGGCTTCAAACGAATGTCGCAACATCGACAAATATCTAACAAATATTAAACTCTTTTCTTATAATGTCTGTCTCGTTATCGGAATCATTTATCGCAAACCGTTGTGTGCTCTGATTTCAATGAAATGTACGCCTCATCTCAGCATAGGGTGTATATAGGGTGATTTCCAAACTCGGAACTTATGTAGATATTTGTGATAAAGCATGGTAATGTAACGGTAAGTCAACAAAATACCCAACTCGATAAATTATTCCCATCCAATAAACAGAGAAGTCATCTTGAATCAGGAATGAAAACTCACCAAATTGGAGCGATCGTACATGATGGGTAGAAACTCGTCGCAGACCAGAATTTTACTCAAAGGCTCTGCGTCGACGAGCTTCTTGGCTCCAGACAGCGAGATGAGGTACCCCACGAGCCAGTGAGAGTACTTCGCTTCTACTAACCTCGGGACACCCGGCACCTGAGTGTGATTTGCATGTATTCGAAAAGGTGACTAACTGTGGGACTTAAAGTATTACGTACACGTATACAATATACAGGCAACCCTCAGATGTTTTACTGCATGTGGGAACAGTTATAATAAGATAATCTGAAACAAAACTTCATGCAAAAAATTTTAGATAATTATACTCTTCAGGTTCTCGCATCTAAAGAGGTTAACTACAAGCATTAAGCAAATTTTGACCAAATTATACATATTTATCAAATTATCCAAATAATTTCTATAATAAAATGCCAATATGGAAGAAAGAAATTAGAGCATTTGTATTTTATTGTAACAGTTTCATACTGCATTCTGTAAAGCAGTAACGTTCAGATGATAGAACTCACTGCAAGCGTTGGTGCAAAAGGCTCTAGGTCTTCGTAGCCTAGATAAATGAAGTCCCACTGAAGGCGTGCGTCGGCGAGGTGAGCGAGCAAGCTCCGTAGATTTTCTTTGAAATTTGGAAAGAATTGAGCATCGTCTTCCAGAACCATAACCTGAAAATTTAAATTACTGTATAAGCCACCATTTTCTACTGAAAATGCCCCTCTAATTCAATGGATTCAAATATTAAATCAATTGTTTGCTTAAATTACAAATTTATGATTAATTTATAAGCAAAAAATAAAATAACCAAAAAGTTCACCATTTCTTATAAGAGAAAACGTTTCGAAGTCCAGCTCCATCGTCAGTTCAAAACCTAGAACACAGGTATAAACAATTCGTAGCCAGACGGATTAGGGACATTAAGACTGGTCAGTGGATTCAATCGTCAGAAATATAATCGTAATTTCCGGGATAGTAAAATTTATCAGAATCTTAGTTATATTTAGCGAAATGATATAGTTATGACCCCTGATGACCTACCTGTTCAGTTTGCTGTTTATCATCACCCAAAGCATGTATGGAATCAAAGTCAAGCTAATTTCATCGAAAGTATAGAATGAGATCCTTTGAAGATTAGCTCTAACAGGTACAACATAACCTTCGTGTGAATCCTAATCATACCCCCAAAACTATTCTTAATTAATGTTAATCCTTTGAAATATCGACTTTCAATTTTACTATGATTCATGCGTTCGTAAGTTACTATAAGTCATGCATTCGTAATCACCTTTTCGAACTTATTCTGGATGATGTTTGTCCAAATATTATGATGGGTTATGGTGCCTCCCATTTCTCCACGAGTAATGGGACGGTTCAGGACCCGATCTCGGTATCCTTTTATTACTTTCACTCCGAGATCTTTCTTGACTTCCTCCGTGAGGTCGTTGCCATCAAAGGCTTGGAAGCGTTCCGCGTCGATGCCAACAGTCTTCAAGATGTATTCCATCTGCTGCCGGCGTTCCAAGCGCTTATCTAAGTTGAGGTAGTAAATCTTATCTAGTCCTGCTTGATCTGTTGGTGCGAGAGGAGGCATGTATTTTTAAAATTTTTGGGCAGGGAATAATAGTTGCCGACTTCGTGCAGAACTGACTTCCTCCGTGAGGTCGTTGCCATCAAAGGCTTGGAAGCGTTCCGCGTCGATGCCAACAGTCTTCAAGATGTATTCCATCTGCTGCCGGCGTATAGAATATCAACGGTCCTGTCATCACAGTGATCGGCGCGTATGTGCAGTATCATGCGACTAGTAGGATAGCTCAGCAGCTCGAAATAAGTTAGGAAGTAAGGTAAAGTTAGCTCCTCGTTGCGTGCCGTCAGGACGACGTACACCAAAGGCTGCACTGCGACACCATCTGAGGTACCAATATTGTTCACATCTGGGATGTCACTCTTATCCGCTTGCGAGATTTTCTTGTCCTCATTCATACACATAGCTAGGAGCATCATTTTGGATAGAATGAGGAATTTTTTTAACATGATTGCGGTTATAAAATGAAATGTTAAGATGTAACACCTCGTTCAAAAAAAATTTTCTGATTCGCCCAAATGTAGATACACCCTTAATCATATTTTATTTCCGTTATTCCTGACAGTAAGATTGATATAAAGTTTCGTTCATTACCAGATTGTTCTTTAATATAGTAAAAATTTGTTCTACCAAAACGATTGTTTCTTTTTCTTTTAACAACAGATTTCATGTCGTTTCTGTTAATCTATGAATCAAATAGAAAACAAATTTCCTCTTCAAAATTTACAGGAGTAATGTTTATACAGTTTCTACCCGCAAAGGCATCTCACAGAGTTACTCTCTGACTGGCATTAATTTATTGTACGGTACGCGGGGGACTATCACGACAGTTATTTGACGCCGTCTCGACGAGGGTGGCGTTTGCCTCGGTGTGATCTTAATATATAGAGTCAAGGTATTTCCCGTTATTGTTTCATACTTGCAGACGCACAAGTATTAAACGGGAGAAGGGCTTCAATTGGTTTCGTTTCACTCGAACACCGCACTCAGACTGAGCTGAACTGAGAACCTGATGCCTCCTACAGGTCACATAACCGCAAGCTTGCAGGAAAAACCTGTCTGGTGGGCAAATCGATGTGTGAGTCAGGCAATTCCTTTATTCAACCTGTATGAAGTCGGTTTTGTCTTATGTTGATTATATCATACTTATTGTATTTGAGAATTCATTCTCTCTTCTAATTCTTTCTTTCGTATATATAGTTACATATATCCGGCCGGCGACGGTCAATAAAGCGCGTTTGTGTTAAAGGCTCTCCATAGGAATTTAGGAATTGTAGAACATGAAGGTCAAAAATGAAACACTTAAACATCTGCATTCAAGTTGGCTAAAATCAAGGCGCATCCTAAGTGAACAAAATCACTGGTACAGAAATGAGGAATGCAAATAAATTCAGAACTCGATAATTATACAGCCCATCTCAAGTATCACTCCTAATTCCTAATAATAGAATTTTCCAGCAGGTCCTAAATTACAAATCTATAATCGCTGTTCGTAATTTCCTTCTTTCTGGGGAACATTGATCCGTTGTGCTATCCTGTACGGTTGCAATGCCGTGACCGTATCGATCACGAAGGTCTTCAGCCTTAATTAATGATGTTTAAAGTAGTCGGGCTGCTGTTTTAATTCTGTAGCCGTATAGTCTCGGAAATATCTCACGTTCTGCATGGCCGTACTTCGAAATGTTTGTGATGGTTTCCCCGTTACGACGTTGCTGCCAGCTCATGACCGTTCTGTAGCTGCTGAGTCCGACCGTCCTTCTGACGTTGCTTGAATGGGTTGCCGGCTTTTTAACAGCTACTCTCCTGGTTGCTTCTCGAGTTGTGTCCCTATTGTACAACGTACAATACAACAACGTGTACAATAAAACGTGTATTGTATTGTACAACGGCTAGCGCGGCTGATTTTGGCCTTACAGGAATTTAGCGAAGTTGTTTTCATCACTTGTAGAAAGTAGATGCCTTTACAGGAATCGTAGCTGTACAGCATATACTGTATATCGATAAGTAGCAGCTTCTCGCAACCGTTAATGTTCGAATACTAGCCGTCACAACGTCTGCAGACTGCAGACCGTGCTCCGTGATCGCACTTCTTATTGCTCGATGTGACGCCAAATTAATCGACTGATGGAACTTCTCTCGCACCAAGCTCGCCAGAATGCGTAGCAGTGCGGGCGTGAGGAGAATGATGAGACCTGGGCGTGCATGAGGAGAATGAAAAGAACGAAGAAAAATATCTACATATCCCAACAGTGGAGGAACAAGTCACGCAGTCATAACAAGTCATATGAGTCATAAAGTTCAACCGCTAGTGAAAAAAAAGAAGGAAAAACAGCAAAGTGAACAATATAGTGCAATACTGACGGAGTGTAAGCCAAGAATAAATACCTCGTGTGAATATTGAAGGTGATATAACTGTTTTAATTTAAAAAATCAGGAAAAGTATGCAGTGTTAGAGTAAAATGAGTCATAAATATATCAACTGGGACTTAGGTTGCTGAAGTAGGAGTTGCCGAAAAAGGTGATAGTGAGATAATACCAGTGATAACGCCAAAAATTGGATGGTAACTCCCGTGGTCGGGGATGGTTCCTGCATGAGGAGTGAGCTTGGAGGCGGTTTGTGAGGTTGCTGTTGTCAGTGGATTAGAGGGACTTGAACGATAGGGAAGCGAGGACTTGCTGGCCTCAAACATATTATAAAAAACTATAATATTCTCAATGTCGAAAAATAAAATCGTCTGGCAGTTGCTCTTCACTGTAATTTAGCTTCTAATTAAGTTTCCAACTCGCAGTGTCAGCGACGCCGTCCAAACCACGTCCACTTGCACTCCACCATGCACAGTTATCGTTTTACAATTAATTGCAAAGAACAATCGTTGTATTCTATGCCTTTAAAATTCCCAGTAATCATGCGAATACCAGGAAACTTCCTGTAAAGAAATGCTAGTGATAGCAAACTTTCGATTTTTATATCCACCCGCAACAACAATTAAGACAATATACGCGTATATGAAGTGGTAATAAACAACATTTTAAAATTATTTTGTATTCACGCTCTAATGAGTAAAGAAAAAGCGGTTTTTTAGGAGTCACATGTACAAAAAATAAATGAACAGTCAATTGAAATAACATAATTATTTGAGAGTGAATTACTATGTATAGTTGAAATTCAAATCAATGCGACGCAATTGCTCAGTGATCGGTGTTCCTATGCTGTTTAAATAATAAAAATCATTGTTCTCTTTGCCTAGAGTCCTTATGGTTTAACAAGGAAAAATACCCACACCAATAACTTTTTTTTTATTTCAATGCACTATCTGTACTTGTTTATATACTTACTTATTATGCTCCCCGGAATTACTCCCGTACGACAATCATTAAGGCTTTACTCCCCTGATATAATAAACAGAAATAAACTGGGTAACCTCGAATAACAAACGGTTTAAGTAATGACAAACAAAAAGCCATGCACCTCGTCACACGAATAACAAAAGTACAGCAACTATCAACTACAGCAAATATTTAGCAAACAGCGTTTCCTTTGAAATTTCTGATAAATAAAATGACAGAGATATGCATTCCACGGCATCTTTGCAGCAATGAGCGTTTTTTTTTTTTTTGCTATACAAAACTTCCTTACTGTCATGAAACTGCCACGCTCAGATCAAAATGTCGACCTAAAACCTCAATTTTGGTCTTAGATGCCACGCAGCTGAGATGCCCAACCCGCTGAGAAACGAGTTGGCGATGGAGAGCAGTACAGACAGATCTCTCTGCCCATGCGTGACTGAATATACCCAGTACACTTGAGTTATGAATACACTCACCGAATTAGAAGTAAACCTTAGGATTATCGTTGAGCCAGGTGTCACTTCTACTCTTCAGTATTACGAAAATCAGTGGTACTGAGGATGGATTAAAAACGGCTATTTTACCTTCCAAGCCATCATGCACTAAGTAAACACATCATCCCGTACTTATCATTGCCCACCTTCAATCCAAATATTGCTTTCTCGCTAGAGAAAGCAAAATACACGAGCATATATCGCCTAGATTATAAAATCTGTTCAAATTTTAGAATGCAGTACATAACTACGAACAGAAACATAGCCCTCCTAACTCCCTGAATGCAGCCGCCCGAGCCCTCCGCTCCTACCACAGCTGTGGTCCGCAGTGTGTCTGGCCACTCGTTGGAGTCGTCTCCATGTAGCCGCAATAAGCTCTATCGTAAATGAAGAAATTCTTCCAAGATGGATATGTAATTGAAAAATTCTTACCCGGTGTCATCTCGTCTTGGCGCCTTGCTAGTGAGGCGTTCCCATATTTCGGGAACCACTCACTAGTGGATGAACAAACATTGATCATTATTTGTATTGAACAATATCAGTAAGCATTGAACAATAATTTCAGCATCAACGAGATACTAGCAAATACCAGCCGTAACTTAATAAGGGCTCTGTGAAGAGATGGAATACAATGACAATAAGAGCAAGTCATTCGTATTATGTAGAGTCATTCGAGTGTGTTTGTATCGGAACAGAACAACCAAATGCCCACGTGAACAATTTCTCATGTCGAACAATTGATTTCGCAAGGCAATTCAGGTTACCGCCCCCCAGTCCAAGACCAATCAGTAAATAGATTATGGTCATGGGGAAACATGCAGCCTCATGCCCATATGCAGGCGCTAGGTATTACCAGCAGCCGGGCACTCCAACAATCATCTTGTGTAACTTTTAATTCTTTTCGTCTCATTCTCTGGACAGCCGACATTGGGAAGGTCACAGCACAAGCCCTGTTTTATTTACTATATTTTCTTAATAATTCTTAGTTATCGCGTACCGCTTACGTTTCCGTTGCGATGCATTCACATATTATCATGGTCGCATATTATCATGGTACCTAAAGAGTCGGAGAGGCAGTGAAGAGGAGAAGGGCTAATCGGTGAGGTCTTGAGCGTCGAATGCACTAAGTCAACCTGGTACAGTGGTACTAAACCTGAACCGTCGTAGCCCTAAGAAACTTAGCTGCGCCTGTCAGCTTCTAATTCACAACTCTGGCGAAGCTTTTGAATATCACTTCACATATGATAACGAAAAATGAATCATTTATAATTCAACAGCCACTATGATTTCATACGAAGATAACGTCGAGTATTTTCAATAGGCGATTAATATTATCATACATTATATATCCATCATAAAACCAATCATCTGTGGGGGTTATCTAAAGGTGGTGTAATATATTGGAATTTCAATACGTTCAAGGCATCGCGCGAACGGAATAAGCAATAGTCGTGCAGATAACTGCACCAGCATCTGTTTCTAAGTCTCCAGCTGTCTCTTGAACCATTAATCTCAAATATAAGTAATTATCATGAATGACGCGGATTAAAATGAAATTTTGTTGAATTTGTTGACATTTTAAGGGAGCAGACATCACAGAACAGGCATCACATCATATGCTCCGTGATGTGACCTGCATCACGTAGCATGTCTCACGAAGCAGGCATCACGGAGCAGGCGTCATGAAGCTGACATCACGGAGCAGGCGTCAGGAAACAGGCGTCAGGAAGCAAGCTTCACGGAGCAGGCGTCATGAAGCAATTATCACGGAGCAGGCGTCAGGAAACAGGCGTCAGGAAGCAGGCTTCACGGAGCAGGCGTCAGGAATCAGGCGTCATGAAGCAGGCATCACGAAGCAGGCGTCATGAAGCAGGCATCACGGAGCAGGCGTCATGAAGCAGGCATCACGGAGCAGGCGTCAGGAATCAGGCGTCATGAAGCAGACATCACGAAGCAGGCGTCATGAAGCAGACATCACGGAGCAGGCGTCAGGAATCAGGCGTCATGAAGCAGGCATCACGGAGCAGGCGTCATGAAGCAGACATCACGGAGCAGGCGTCAGGAATCAGGCGTCATGAAGCAGGCATCACGGAGCAGGCGTCAGGAATCAGGCGTCATGAAGCAGGCATCACGGAGCAGGCGTCATGAAGCAG